CTTAATTTGATTACACATATACATAAAGAAAATTCTTACTGTAATATTGAATACTAAACATCAATTTGGTAATGAGTATAATAATTAAATATACTTTTCTTACATTCTTAATTATAGAGATTAGAATACATTAAGACTTATCTTACTGTTATTATTTCAGTATGTTGTACACACTTGGTCTTAAATTTCACAGTTTAATCTACACTAATATGTAGAATATTTCTACATATAAATGATAAATATCTATCCAAGAAAATTGAGGTCAAAATTAATTCAGGAAAAAAAATGTTTTATAATGTAATATAAGCCACCTGACAATGAATAGGGAATAACAATATCAGAAAGGCAATCAAAATCTCTATCTTAAGCTGGCTGTCTTTTAAAAAATAGAACAATTATTGACAAATCAAACAGAGTTGTAGCATAAATCTCAGTAGTTACAGAACTCACTAGTTAGTTTATATCCTATGAGAATAACAATTAAAATCCATTGGGTCCGATTTTAAAGAATTATCTCTTCAAGAAGAAACACTACATTCACACAATTCTTCCCAAATCTAAAACAAAACTCATGTTTTGAGTCAACACTTGATCACAAAAAGTGTTCTAATTTTAATAGTTCCTAGAAGAAAAATAATTGTCCCTGGAAAGAAGCTTACATCTATATTTCCATTTTATAGTAATTAGGCCTGCCTCTAACACCTTTTTTTTAACATTCTTAGGCTACAACTCGACAAAATTTCTCACAAGGAATTTTCACAAACTTAAAAACTTTTAAAAAGTAAAACTACAGCATCAATAGTCCTTTTTTTATTAAATATGAATAACTTCAAATGTTTCAATCTGAACAAGAAACCGTAATGACAGCACTTCACTATACTATTCTTAGAACGTTTATATAATATGCAGTATAATTATGGAAAACATAGGTGATACAAATATACTAATACTGGAGCAATGACAACTATATGGTGAATTTATCACTAGTATATTACATTATTAAAGAAAATACAAAAGGCAAATAAGTTGTACAGTGCACTAGTATTTTGTACTGTATTTGTTTAAACCTTGTTATTATATTACCATACATCTATCAATGCATGACAGTGAATACTTTCCATAATTCAACCACGTTGTTTGACCTTAGTTTTTATATAAGCCCATATGGCCTTAATAATATTCAAATTGGGGCATTCAGGCCAAGCAAAGGTTTTGAGTGTTCCAAGGTTCTTTTCTTTCAAAGTATCAATTCACTTCATTTAAGTTAATTCCCTGTCCAACAGTCTTGTTCCTGAAGAAATGTCATAACAGATAAAAATCCATTTGTACCTGTTAGCAATTAGGATGCCATCACTTTTGCACATATCTCCAACAAGAGTTAGGCAATCAGTGGAATTTGATAATCAGTTAGTCATTGGGCTCATTAATTGAGTACATTCAACTAATTGATTATCCTCACATCAGACTTGGATAGTTGGGTTAATCAATAATAACACTCAAATACACTAATTTTAATTAATTGATTATTTTCATTATATTAATTGATTATTTTACATGACACTAACCAATGTAATTGATGCACACAGTTAACCAATTATATTGATTAATAGCCCAACTATCTCCAATTAGGGCTGCCACCTGTTATATATATTACAGAACCCTTCCTCATTCATTAGTAAAATGTAATATTTCAGGCAAGAATACAATTTATTCCTTATTTTATCTAGGTATATCACTGTTTATTTTTAAACCTTAGTTTCTGATTTCATGAAAATTATTTAACAAAAGGCAACCCCATCACCAACAAAACTGGCTGAAATGCAGCCACACTTTTGTACTGCACCCCAAGCATACTTCACTGCGGATACACATTGATCATGATACTGATCTTCTTTCTACCATTAAGCAAATCATTATTGATTACTCTAAACAACTTGAATTTGGATATATCTGCAAGACCATCCTCATCCAGCTTTGCTCATCCCATTGTTTTGAGCCTGATGCCCATTTCAGCCTTTTCGTTTTGTTATCTCTCCAAAGTAGTTTTTTTAAGTAGCTACACATCTTTTGAGGCTATTTTATACTAATTAATGTGTATCAATTTGGAAGTAACCTTCACACCTACACTTACAGTTAGGCCATTGGCAAGATATCTAATAAAATGTCATGTACCATTTAAAAGAGTAGAACTTGAGTTAATTAAAATCACTTTGTAAGAGTTGTGACTTTCTACCTCAATACTTTCTATTATCAACAATAAATGTACTAATTTGATTACCCTATTTAGATTTTCCTAAAAGCTCTTATTGAAACATGAAATTTCATATCAATCTTTCATATGGAACAGCTTTCACCAGCCAAAACTTTGATTTCTTCAAATTTGTAACGAGTCATTTCTGTCCTAGGAGCCATGGATGCATCTTCACACTACTGCTAGGAATAGTATGACTGCTTGTACTTTTATAGGTATACTGATGACAGCTAAACAGTTGAAACTCTCATGTGATAAAAGACGAGCAATTCTATGATATTTGCAATTTGTATACCCATTTCACTCCCAATTTCCATGGTTATTTGCAGTACTTACAATATATCACAAAATATAAACAAAATTCAATACTATACTTGTCATTCGGTTAGACCTGACATAAACTTAATTAAGCTTGCTGCAAATATATCCCAGCATTAATAATATTTTCTAGCAACACTTAAAACTTTGGAAGACTTTGAATTCAAAGTAAAAAGGATAATTAAAAACTTTAAGTCTTAGTAAATCCCACAGAACAGATTAGGCTCTCAACACTAATGAACTTACCAGTCGATAAAGCCATCTCCATTCCCATCACATGTTTGAAATAAGCGTCGTATTCGTTCTTCTTCGGGAGTGGAACCAGAATCACTTCCACTTGATTCACTTCGAACATCACTTGCCATTTTATTTACTTTAGTTTTTACATTTTTTTAACAGATTGCTTTGACTTCAGTAACAGCTAACATATCCTTATAAAATAATTATGTAATTATTAGCTTGTAAAAGTCTGCTGAGGATTACTATTATTCATTGATTAATTTCACATCTTGGAATAAAGTTTTTCCACACATGTAAGTGTATTTCAGTTTGTTAAAATTAATTTAAATATTCAATAATTCATCGAAGTAAAAAAAATCAGAGGAAAGGTAAGCTTGTTTCTATTATAATAGTCAATCTACATGCCTGTTTGGCATTCTTAATTATGCTTTGACTAGCAGTGCACATTATATGTTTTGTGTGTGTATTAAGATTTAAGAGATCAACGTCAGAATTTAAATATCACATACATTAACTGTTAGCTTGCATAAACATTCACTTTTGTTGAGGTAAACTACACCCACATTCAATATCCGTCTAAGGTTATTTGTTTAAAACGCATTGTAGCATGAGCACTGGATTATTTTTTCTGCTGTTGTTTATTTGCTATCCCTGCTATAATGAAAAATGTCTAAAAATAGGGTTTTAAAGCATTTGCTAAAAATTAATTTCGTCCCTGGTTAATATTAATAGAAACTGCTATAATATAACTAGCAGCAGAAGTAGTAATTACAAACCATACTAATTTCCTATGACACCAACTTTAAAATCAAAGTCTGGCTCTTGAATGTTGAATGCATGAAAAAAAAATAATAATCCTATAATACAGACACTATAGTCGATACATCAGTCATATCACAATATCATTCTCAGCCTCTCTGTCGATGATGCCAATGTCATCACGTGCTTCTAACTTGAATTTTATCAGTTCGTATCAGTAACACCGCTTTTACGACAGCTAGCTTATACTTGCACTACTTTGTAAACTTTACTTGAGATATATCGGTTTTTGCCGAATTTTGTTTGACAGGGATTTTACTTAATGCTGCATGTTTACAGTTCTAGCGCCACAAAATTACCATGACTTAAATTAGAGAAATAGATTTTTAATCAAAACGTAATAATCAAATTTGTTAACCTGACGAACGTTTAAAATAATTTCTTAAAAAAATAAAAACGTCACAATACATAAAGTAATAAGCGAAAAATATACAAATGACACAACTTCCACAAACTTGACAGTCGATAAAATAAAACAACGCCCTCTGGTAGTACTTTGTACAAGGAAATAATCTAACCAATAAAAGACGAGTGGTAGCCAGGGAAAAAGGTACTAAAACCGACATTTTAGAATGAGCACTAAACAAACAAATGACAGGTAGAATATTCAAATATAGATAGTTAGCAAAGAATGAATCTTTTGAAAATGATATATGTATATACAAAATCAGTTTTTTATTTGGACTCGTAAACAATTTGAATAAATATAATATTTCAAAGATAGCAAGTAAGCCTTTATATGCAAGAAAACAGAAAACCATTAAAAGATATGTTCACAAAAAACAGTAACATCTTAAGCTGGACTTTACTTAACACAAAATGATTGATATATATATATATATATGCATCAAAAGGTACTGAATTATAAACGTATGTGAATATTAAAACATCAGTACATTATTTATTTGTGATGTACTCAGTGGTGTAGCAAGAGGGGAGAAGTTGCCCCCGAGCGCAGGTGTGAAGGGGTTCAAAATTTCCTCTGGCCTATAATGCCTATTAATTAATAATTATGCCCTCCCTTAGGATATAGCGCAACTGCCATACTTTAAATAAATACGACACAGTGTTGCGTTCTCTGTGTGTATCAGGCTTGCAGTTTTAACTTTTAAAAGCCGCCCACTGAAATACAGTGAGACCGAATTGAC